CTTGAGTCGAGGCCCAATGTCTATCTGCAACCTTAATTCTTAACATATAGATGAATACATAGTTCTATTCCTCTCTCTCTATAGATATATATGTATGTATGTATGTATATATATATTCATATGTACATGACTATATTTAGGCCTCTATAAATGTCCTTTGCCTCCTGGTTCTTTCCTCTATTTCCTTTCACTTTCCTCTTGTCCACCAACCTGCTCAGCCTTCATTCGGGTTTAGTGATCCCTCACTGCTACATTGCCCTTGATTAGCTCCACTAGGCATCCGTCCACCTTCCTTCCATGGATTTTAGTTCATTTGTTTTTCCCTTTCCCTGGGTTGGTCCCCCAACCCCCAACCCCATTCCTTCCTCCCACCCTTCCCTTCTCCCGTATCCCCCCAGAACCATTGGTCCCGTTCTTTTCCTCTCCGAATTATTTATGTATTTTATTTTTTAAAGGATTTTCTTATGATAAATAAAAACTGAAGGAAAAATGAAGTCTCATTTCCCAACTTTTTAGGAGGAATTCTTTTAGGAGGACTCTTCCTGTTCTGGTTACCATTATTCCCCCAAATACTTACGACTCACAAGGAGCTTTTGGCCAATGGGTTCAACTTTCAATTCCTGTGTCACAGGATTATAAACTGCACATTTATATGATCCCTTGTCCTCTAAGGATACATTCAAAATCTGGAGATTTCCTGATGGAAGGATTAAGTAATTATCTGAAGAAAGGAGGGAGAATATAGTCAAGCCTCTCCTCTTTACAACAGGATACCACAACACAGTAATAAACAAAAAGGGTAGATAATTGGGTTTTGATATAACACTACCGGCAAATAGCAACCAAGAAAATTCATGACATGAAAGAGGGAAAGAAGAAAAGAGAGTTAAAATCTGAGATATCAGAAGCAAATCTAACAAATATTTTCATAATAGACCATTCATTGACAATACTGAAAACACAAGAAACATGCTTACACAAATATATAATGTCGATCCTACAAAAAACAAAATCCAAACCCATTGCCACTGCAGAGATTCTAATTCATGGTGACCCATGTGTTAGAGAGGACAGCTCCACAGGGTTTTCTTGGCTCTATTTCTTAATGGAATCGAGTTTCTGGGTAATGCAAACTGTTAAGCGTTCAGCTAACTAACCAAAAGATGTTGATGTTTAAAACCAACTCAGGGGTTCCTCGGAAGTAAGGCCTGGAAATCTGACACCGCTGTGGAATACAGTTCTACTCAGCAACACAAGCCGTCCCCATGAGTTGGAAGAAACTCAATACCACACTGCACCAATCTTCATAGAAACAGATTAGCAAGCCTTTCTTCCATAGTACTGTCAGGTGTGTTTGAACTGCCAACCTCTCGTTAGTAGTTCAGCACAAACCATTTGTGCCACCTAGAGTCCACCCTACCCCCTTAGACAACTCTATACCTATGACACTGATCACCTGGTATTCGTTCCTTGCTTAGCCATTCCTTTTTTCGCCCTTATCAGATATGTGCTGAGTGTCTATTTTCTGCTAGACAGTGGCCAAGGTACAAGTGAACAGCAATGAACAAAGCATTTGTCAGGCTTGCGTCCCACTGCTTCCCAGGGAAAGGAGAAGGGCTGAGGCAAGAATCAGAAATACGCAACGCTAGAGGTGATACATTATCTGAAGATAAGCACAGCTGAAAGGGACAGAGTGACAGGGCATATATTTTAGGCAAAGGCATTAGAGTAATTTTTGCTAAGGCCTGTGTGATACCGGAATGACTCAAGGACCAAGACCTGAAAATACTGAATTATAATCACTGAATTATAATACACTGTGGAAGGGGTAAGTACTCAGCTGCTAACTTAAAGGTCAGCAGTTCGAACACACTAAGGGAGAAAGACAGGGCAGTCTGCTTCCATAAAAATCTACAGCCTTAGAAATGCTAAGGGTGGTTCACTCTGTTCTACAGGGCTCCTGTGAATGTGAATCACTCAATGGCAAGGGGGTTGGGTATCAGTCTCCTGGGACCTATAGTGTTAGTCTCTTCCACCTGGCCTCCAGAAACAAAGACAATTTATCTTATTTATTTGTGTATCCTGCAAGTGTCACTGGCTTTGTTGAAAAGGTCTCACCTGTGGAATGTTTCAGCCATTTCCCCCGTATTTTATAGCGCACCTCAGCTTTGGGGTTACTATCTGGGACCTTGCAGCTGATGAAACCAGTACTTTTTTCTTCTGCTATAACAACGTTCCTTGTTGACGAACCAAAATCACCAAGAACTAAAATAAAGATTAAATAAATAAATGCAAATTTAATTCTCTTTCCTAAAGGAAATGAAAACATTTAACACATCATCTACAACAGTGCCTTCTGTGGCAGCTAATCCCTGTCCAGTGAGGAGAAGGTTTTTTGTGGGGTTTTTTAAAATCTCAGAAAGCTGTTGGGGCAGGGGGACTCATGGCTGAGGACTGAGAGCTACGTCCTAGTACCTTGCTCAGAAGTCAATGCTTACAGGGGACTCTAACAAAAACCAACTGCTCTTAAAATTAACATCATAGGGAAGGGAAAGACATAAAGATTAAAAAAGAAAACCCATCCTGGAGAATTATAAATTTGGCATAATTATTCCCATTCTGTTCAAACAAATCCTTTCAGTACAGACCCTTATCGAAGTTCATCCTTCCTAGGCACTGTTATTCTGTTTATAGCTACCCATCTTGCCATATTAGGACATGAAGAAGTGAGGTCGTCATGTCAATAGGAATTATCTGCGTATAGTAACACTGGGCCTCAATTCCCCGCACTGCAGATGGAGACGGCATGAAGGATTGGGGATCTCCAGTGCAGAGAGAGCGCAGTCCGCAGCTGCCACGAGGAAGCCAGCCCCCAGCGTGTCTCTGGGAGCTGTCCATGGGTCACAGCTCTACAGAAACATTTACTCTCCGCAGTTATGACAAACTCACTCCTCCTGGGGAATCCAGATTTGTTCTGTAAATAGGGGTGCCCTTACAAAAACGTTTTCCGTTACTGGAAGGCATCACCATTTGAAAGGCAGATGGCTCAAGCTTACTGAAAAAAAACCACTGGCTCCAGATTTTCCATAAGTTCAATTCTCAACATTCCTTTTCCTTACAGTCAGATTTTCTTTCCTTGCTGCTTTAGCTGGTTTCAATTATTTAAATTAAAATCACACAGTAATCAAGGGAAACAAAACATTAGATGTGCAAGAAAGATAAAGAACTACATGACATTATTCAATGCTAGACAACAATTTTAACAACAAAAAGAGACTTAAAAACTCACACACACAAAAAACAATTCAGAATCCACTGTTCCTGGTGTAGAACTTTTAAAAAAATTCCATCTCCTAGTTACAGCTGAAGATAGGAGGCTCTCAGACGTTAGGCGTCAAGGCTGCAGCGCGAAGGCAGGCAGCTACGTCTGGCTTCAAAGCCCATGCTCATCTCAGTACTCAAAAAGGCAAGTCTAAGACTAACACAGGAAGGTCAGGAAATACCACACATAACAGATACAGAAGGAAACTCACCTGCAATGGAGACTGTTGCAGGAGCGCTCACAACAGCGCCGATGCTGTTATTGGCAACGCATTGGTAGTGACCCAAAAGGGAGGGGTTAAGAGAAGGAACCGTCAAAGTCCCCTGATGGATCTTAATTTGTTCCACGTTTCTATCCAGTCTTTTTCCATTAAGCAACCATGAGATATGAGCAGTCACAGGCTCAGCAGAACAATGTAGCACTACAGGTCCACCAAGTTTCTGGGCAGCAGAGAGCGGTTCAGAAATAAAAGAAGGTGCCAAGTCTATGTAAGAGGAAAGGTCCCCAAGAGAAGGTGTGGGGGATAGGAGAGAAGGGAATAAAGGGAAGAGAGAAGAAAACATTAAACACATCTCATCTGCAACTAAGGGCAATTCCTTCTTTCCTGTAGCTATATCATGGTTCTTAATGCCTATAAAAGTTCCAGCAACATTTTATAGCCCATTTTTGGAAGAAAAATAAAAGGGGCAACAGCTCAGGCCACAATTTAGCAATCTGTGTAGAGGAGACAAGAATCTGTCCGGTATAAAAGAGATAAAATACCACTTCTATTAAAAGGGAATAACAAACTTCTTTGAAGCAGGGACTTGTAAGAAATACAAATTTAAGCCTGAAGAAGCAAAGGTGATTTTCAAAAATATTCTCCTAATTTTGCCAACCAGACTTAACTTTTGAGAGCAAGTCATTCCATAAATAAAGGCAGCCGTTGACGACTCCCTTTGAATATAAAATAATGTTCAACTTCTAAGAAAGCGGAAAGTCGGGGACCACAGCTGAAACCCAAAGCCTACCCTTTCTGAGACAAGAGGTTTCATAAAGTAACAAGTTATCAGAACAGTTTATTTAGTGTTTATGGCAGTTTCACATTTGTTAGAGCTATCATTTCGGGAACTAGGTGTGCGGAGTTCCTGAACTAACATAGCCGTTACCAGAAGAGGGAAGAGGAACAGAAATATTGTTAATTTGGGAGCGTAAAATACTTAAAAGGAAAAATATCAATAATTGTTGCATCTACTTTTATAAAACACTGAATCAGAAATTGGTTGAGTCTGAGGTAGTTCAGCAAGACATAAACAGCAAGTTCTTAATCATGTTTTTCTGTACCGAATCTCATGTAGTTACGCAGTATTTTAACACAGACTCAATGCCTCAACCATTAAGCCAACAGGGATCCTTCATAATACAGATACCACATATTATTTAATGAATAAACATGACCTTATTTATATATATACCTGATCAATACATCTTCAGACAAATAAACCATAAGAAGAAATGCATGTGTGCCAGGTCTCAAGCTCTATGCCCATATATACATTTAACAATAAATACATTGAAGCTTTTAAAAAACCCAAAGAGGGATGAAACATAGGCAAGGTCATGAGAAAACATAGCAGACCTGGGGTTTACACCAAATTCTCTCATCCCAAATTAAATAGCACTGTGCTGATTCCTGAACCTCTCGTTAGTGCTATGAAGCCAGCATTTACTCCTGATATCATGTCCAAATTCAGAGCTTTCCTACAGCTAGATTTTTTTTTCATATAACTGAAAGTTATATCCCCATGCTGCAAAATGCATGGCTCAAAAATGTTTCTTTTTAAGGCAACGAAAGGGATAAATTTCAAGGATAACGACCAGAAGACCTACCGCTGCCCAAAGGTATTACTAGAAGATCTAAGCAAAGGCTCTGGAATTCTCCATTTATCAGGTTAAATCAGAGCTAGTCAAACAAATCTTAGAAATTGTTTTTCGAAGCTACCTTATTGGCAAATAATTGAAGCCAAAGTATGTTTTACAGGATCGACACGGGTAAAGCTTCCATCCTAAGACCAGCATTCGTACATGCTTACCTGACCGTGCAGAAGAGCACAGAATCATGAGAGTACTACACAGCAGTGTCGGCAAGGACGCGAGGTCTGGATGCATAGCGTCAACTTGCAGGACCAGCAGACTAGACTTCCACGGCAATAGCCAGGCCTCAGCTCACTGGAAAACATTAGGAAAGAGAAAATCTAAACAGTTCGTTCTTTTATCGGAACAGCCAGAGTTATAAGCATAGTAGTTACCATCTATTTTGAAAACTCTGCAGAAAGAATGTCAATTAGAAAATACAGCTGCCACCAAGTCAACACCGACGGGTGGTGACCCAGGTGTGTTAGTGTAGAACTGGGCTCCACGGCATTTCCTCTTTTTTTTTTGTTTAAAGTTTGGGATGTTAGACTTTTCTTTTATAAATCATTTTATTGGGGGCTCTTACATATAACAATCCATACATCCATTATAGCAAGCGGACATGTACAATTGTGATGTCAATTTCTAAACATTATCTTTCTTCTTGATCCTTTTGATATCTGCTCCTCTTTTTCTTTTTTAAACCATTTTATTGGGGGGCTCATACAACTCTTATCACAATCCATACACACATCCATTGTGTCAATCACATTTGTACATATGTTGCCATCATCATTTTCAAAACATTTTCTTTCTACTTGAGCTTTGGTATCGGCTCCTCATTTTTTCCCTCCTTCCCTTACCCTTGATAATTAACAGTTATTATTTTTTTCATGTCTTACACTGACCAATGTCTCCCTTCACCCACTGTTCTACTGACCATCCTCCAGGGAGGGGGGTTATATGTCAATCATTGTGATCGGTTCCCTCTTTTTCTCCCCACTTTCCCCTTCCCCTCCTGGTATGGCTACTCTCATTACTGGTCCTGAGGGATTTATACGTGCTGGATTCCCTGTGTTTCAAGCTCTTATCTGTACCTGTGTACAT